GCCTCACTCTCTTTCTCTTCTCCTCCCCCTTCTGTCTCATTCTCTTCTCCTCTTTCTGCCTCACTCGCTCTTTTTCTTCTCCTCCTCCTCCTCCTCCTGCCTCTCTCTCTCTTCTCCCCCTCCTCCTGCCTCACTGTCTCTTTCTCTTCTTCTCCTCCTTCCTCTTACTCGTGGTGCCCAAATGGCCACTTGCTCCCACGTGGCGGCCTGGCTGAGCGGCGCAGAAGTCAGCCGAGCACCAGGATGGGTGGCGAAGACCGTGACAGAGGCTCCAGGCCCCCCCGGCTGAGTGGTGCAGAAGTCAGCCAAGCGCCAGGGTGGGAGGCAAAGGCCATGACAGAGGGCAGGGCCTGGAGCCTCTGTCACGCCCTTCACCTCCCACCCTGGCGCTTGGCTGACTTCTGCACCACTCAGCCAGGCCACCGTGCGGGAGCAAGTGGCCATTTGGGCTCTGCGAGTGAGAGGCAGGAGGAGGAGGAGAAGAGAAAGAGAAGAAAAAGAGAGAGTGAGGCAGGAGGAAGAGAAGAGAAGAATGCTCCAGGCCCCGCCCAGTATTATTTATTCCACAATTTCTCGCGGAACTCCTGATGATGATCCGCAGAACTCTGGTTGGGAAACACTGCCCTAGAGAAAGTGATATTAACAAAATCTTCCCACGTGAGTATCTGGGAGCCATCATTTGGATGTTCCTGATGGGATTTGGGGGGGGGGGAGGGGGGGAACCACTTTTGCAAAAAAGTGCATTTCCCATCTGAAAATCATTCTCATGGAAAATTCCTAACCAGCTCTAATACTTACTAGACTCTCCCTTGACTGGGGTAGGAATATCTTACTAGACTCTCCCTTGACTGGGGTAGTCACTAGTTGAGGCAATTGGGCCCAAACCAAAGACAAAGTCTCCCACTTCAACTGGGGAATCTACCTCACATTCTTATCATTCATTTAAGAAACACCTGAAGGAATTTCAGCTATTCCAGGCTAACTCATGGGCCCAGATCCATAAAAGGAGTACCATTTACATGCATTTAATGCGATGCAGGCAGACTATGAAAGATTTACATCTGGAAAAAATGTTGTTTATTGTAATATATAAGACATGTACGGATGTTTACAAAACAGAGTTACCCAGACAAGTCCATTTATAAAAAAAACAGTTAAACATCTACAAATTTTGTGTGATTTATAAGTAATGGAGAAAGAGGAAGAGTGGATGTGGAAGATGAAACTCCCATGTGCAGTAGTCCGTACATTAATTCAGATATTTGTAAAAATCTATTTTACTCTAAATAATTACATGACTATATTAATTTTCTTGGCTTACATATCTCAATTATATTTAAAGGATTATTCCTGTCTCAGAGGAATCTATTCTTTTCTCAGGGTGCATTAGTATTATCAGTAGTTATGCACACATATCAAGAAGGACCACATGTAGCTTCCCTTACTTCTGCAACTGGTAACATAATTAAGGAGAACAGATTTTTTTTTTTTTTTTACTAAAGAGCATAGTAGCATAAGATCAATAAATATATTCAAGAGACACATTAATACAACCAGACGAGTGATTCCTGTTAGACTTATCCAAATGTTAGGATTTTCCTTTAAAGGTCCATAGGGGGAAAAAATCTAAGACCATACTGCTAAAACATAGGCACTAGAGGTCAGTCACTTTCTCACTGCATTTAAATGAAAATCAAATGGGTTGAATAAGCATAATTATTATGTAAATATTTATTTAAAATGTTTCCATATTTTTAAACTAATTATTAATATGTGTAATGAGCCTGAGGTAGCCTGTGTTTTGGAGATTTTTCGTAAGTATCCTATAAAGGCAATATAGTGCTAGTACTAAAATAGTATTTCTTACTTATAGAGCTCAATGCCCTGCTTAGGAATCTGAGATTTTGCCATTTTATGGGGGTTTTTTTTTGTAACTGATATTTACAGTCTTTCCTTAATGCTTTGTGTTGACAATATTTATTTGTACAATAAACACATAATACAAAGAATACTTTTCTATGTGGGCTCATATGATCTCATGTTCCTTATTCTCTTTTTCCTCTTCTTTTAAGTATCAGCCAGCTCTGTTGAGATTCCTTGGCACTTGCTGACAACTGTGCAGATGGGACCATTACCAGTTCTTAATGAACCCACAAGGGGGCTCTACAATAGCCATGTCACTGTCCCTACACATTTCTTAAACAAGGTCTCTTGGTTCAGTGCTCTGGCTTGAAATACAACTCACAGGTTGGAATCACAGATTGAAAGACCAGCATGAATGTCCTCACTGTTCAATAGCCTCTTCTTTAAGCTAAACTCTTGGTATGGAGAGGCAAAATCATGGCATTAATTCCTTGGAGTTACAAGGTTGTGGTATCTGCTATTATCTTTAATGTAAGATATATAATGCAAAGCTACAGTAGGAAATTTGGATTACTGAATCATATTTCTGTTCTCATTTACACTGGTTTAAATCAGGGGCTGTTATTTCAATGGAATTACTCTGGAGTTACACCATTGTAACTAACAGCAGAATCAGGTCTGCTGACCCTAATCTGTGGCTTGCATCTCACAACAAAGCCTGAAGTTCACTGTTATTATAACAACTACCTTTTAGATATCAGAAAATTTAGCGCATGAAACTCTATTCTCAGTTATCTTAAAGAAAATTCAGATTAGCGCCAGTGATCCAGTTAGTTTGGCTTTACACTAGGGTAACTAGGTAGGGCTCTGATTCTGCATTCAGTTTTGTACAGGCTGACCCCCTCTTTCCAAACAAAGCTCACTGCAGGGTAAGGTGAGGGGTGAGACAAGGAAGAGGGGGTGGACTATGAATAAAATTTGCCCCACAGTAGTCTCTATTTATGAGGAAGACTTACACTAATTTAATATTTATAATGTCCCTATACTTCTTCAAAGTCAATGGGCAAGGCTTCCACATATCACAGTGATGTGGAACAGGTAAGAACATAAGTAAGCAGGTAAGACTAGACTGAAAGCTGACTGCAAGGAAGGAAACAAATATTTACAGCAGTGCAGTTAGTTAGCCTTGAAGAATTCAGGTTGATCAAAGCATTGTGAGCTTTCTGACATTTTACTTAAAAGTTTAAGAGAAGTTTGTTTTTTAAAAAAGAGGGTTCTTTTTAGGGATGTGAACTACTAGCTGAGTAGTCAACTATCCGATAGTCAACAGACTAGTCACTTCCCCCTCACCCTTGCTGCCTCTATGAAAAAGAGACAGCAAGGGGTAGGGGGAAGAGGAAGGAGAGCTTCAAAGCGGCAGTGCCATGTGGAGCCTGGGGTCAGTGGGGGAATCCCCAGCTGGCCCTGGCTCCCTGCAGCATTTCAAAGTGGGAGCACCACATGGAGCCTCGGGTCAGCTGAGGACTCCCTCAATGACCCCAGCTCCATGAGGTGCTGCTGCTTTAAAACACCGCATGGAGCCTTAGGCCGGGCTCCCCACGGCGTTTCAAAGCAGCAGCGTTGCATGAAGCTTGAGGACTCAGAGTCCCCAGCTGACTCCAGGCTCCATGCAGAGCTGCTGCTCTGAAACACTGCGGGGAGGATGGGGTCAGCGGAGGACTGCTTGAGTCCCCTGCTGGCCCTGCGCTCCCTGCTGCGCTTTTGCCATTGAAGTGTAGCAATAGCCCCTTATCAACTAATCAAATAGTTATAGCAAATTGCATTGACTATTCGATTAGCAAAATAATCAAAATTTTACATCCCTAGTTCTTTTAAATAGCAAAAGAGTTACACTAGCTTAAAACAACAAGGCACTATCATTCTAGGGCCTGGTCTACACTACATTAGAAGGCTGAAGTAAGATACGCAACTCTAGCTACGTAAATTATGTAACTGGAATTAACATGTCTTACATCATGTTTCGGTGCTGTCTACATAGTGGGAGGCTGACAGGAGCAGACACTCGCATTGGCGTCCCTGACTTCTCATGAGGAGTAGGAGTACCAGTGCCAATAGTGGAGCCTTCTAAGTTCGATTTAGCGGGGCTATACTAGACCTGCTAAATCAAACCCTGGAAGATCAACTACTGCAGTGTCAATCTTCTGCGTAGTGTAGACATGCCCTATGTCTATTTTCAGTGGTCTATAGCTCACCCATTCCTCGCACCAAGTGCAAGAAGGCATCTAATATGTGGCTGGATTCCACTGAAGTCAGTTGCATCTGTAAGTGTTTAGCACCTTGCAGGAGGCACTCAGTACCTTGTTAGGTCAGGCACTTAATTGACAAATGTGGGTGAGAGTTCTTGCTCTAAATTTAATCTTACTATTTTATTTAGAAATGCTGCTCCCCACTTACACCAGTTTTGCCCTTTATTTCAATGGGAGGAGGAGCAGGCCCCATATAATGGTGGTTCACCCTACAGAAGCTACAGTAAATTAAAAACTCTAGTTTAGCATTGCAGGATTCTGACAGAAAACTCTAAAATCTACATAATGATCCCGAAACCCAGTGTCATTTTAATAGAGAATACCAAAAACTATAATGCACTTTGGACCTGAACTGAGGTATTGGAAAAGAAGCTTAGTTTAAACGTTTTCATATTGACTGAGATTTCTAAGAGTCAGTGAACAGTAAAATGAAAAATTTAGGTCTCAATTACATGCTTCTTTGGAATGCAGGTACCCCTTACTGCAAGTGAAGAAGGGTGTGAATTTTGTGCAGCTTGGCCTCCTGTAACACGTGGGCTGTGTCTACACTGGGCCACTTATTTCGGAAAATCAGCCACTTTTCTGGAATAAGCTGCGAGATGTCTACACTGGCCCTCGAATTTCCGGAAAAGCAACGAAGCTCTACTGTACAAAATCAGCCGCTATTCCGGAAAAACTATTCTGCTCCCACTCGGGCATAAGTCCTTATTCCGGAACACTGTTTTGGAAAAGGGCCAGTGTAGACAGCCCAGTAGTCTTTTCCGGAAAAAAGCCCCGATTGCGAAAATGGCGATCAGGGCTCTTTTCTGGAAAAGCGCGTCTACATTGGCCACAGACGCTTTTTCGGAAAAAGGGCTTTTCCGGAAAAGCAGCCTGCCAATGTAGATGCTCCTTTTCCGGAAAAACTGAAAATGGAATAGTATTCCGTTTTAAGCAGTTCCGGAAATTCATGCCAGTGTAGACACAGCCACTGTGAATCGTGCTAATTCCACTACCTTTGAACCCTTATTTTTAAAATATTTTATTGAAAGACCATGAACTGCTGATCTATTTCAAACAATGTAAATACAGTGGATTTTAAGATTAAATTTAGAGCAAGATGATTTATTATTTTATTCAGAAACATATGGAGCTACAGTGTTGTCAGTGGAATCACACTGCTGCAAAACAGTTAATTATTTTGGGTAATATATGCAATGACTTTGTGAGGGACACAGAATACACACTTAGGCGCTAAAGAGGTATGTGTATGAAGTCCTTCTAAGAAAGTTATATGTCCCTCCCCAAACTTCCTTTTTTTAATACACAGTATTAAGTAGTAGATGTCGTACACAAGAGTTTTGGTTTTTTCTCAGCAGACCATTTGTTGCTAGATGGCCTGGTTTTCAAAGCAGTCCTTAAGAAAAGACACATAAAAAATGTGATTTTCTGGAATTTTGTATTTTCAAGAAGTCTTGATGAATATCTGAAAAAGAGGGAATAAAATATTTGATAATTTACAAAAATCATGTCAAATATTAGAATTAAATGTATATATCTGTTTTTCCCTTTCAAATATAGTGATAGGTTTTCAAATTATTTCAGGGAAATCCTTTGAGATTTTTTTCCCCTGGAGATGTTGCCATTGAGTCCATAAATGATTAACAGAAACAAAGTTTTAAAATTACATTATTGTCTGAAGATGTTTGCCTATTTTTCCTACAAATAACACCTGAGATTACTGCTACTATTATAAGAGAAGATATAAAAGAATAAATGTAAATAAACTAGCCATGGAGAAAATGGCATACCTCATGGAATAAATAAGGCTACTAGAATTTGGAACAAGTAGTATTTACTCCTAGAATAGTGATAGAAATGTTTACTCCTAGGCATCCTCTCATTGAGTAAAGAGGCTTACTCAGGTAAGTGATATTCAACATGGGCAAGGTTGGAGAATCAGTCCCTTTGTGCATTTTAAGTATTTTTTGTGCAGTTTCATTTTTCCTGGTATAGTTATTTTCCCCTATCTACATGGGTCTTTCACTTTTTTTCAAAAATTAGAAAAAGATGATTGTAAAGCAATAAATACTGGCAGGTGGAGTCAGGGGCAGGAATGGGAGCTGAAATTGCTTTTAACAATAGACCTATAAATATTTTTCCATATGCTTACCTCACTCAGTAATGCCCATACAGAAGAATTAGAATGGATAGATAAACGAATAGCCTGTATTTTTCCTACTGATGGACTGATGATGTCTTCTGCTATTCCATTATCAAATGTACCTACATATAAACAAAACCAAATAGCATTAGCATGAGCAATAATGAAATGCATTTTTCAAGAGGACTCAGTGCAGTTTTACTGTCAATAATAAATATTATCTAAGGCCCAGATTCACAATAGTACTTAGGAACCTAACCCTGAGAGGTAGATGCTCCAGTCCTACTTTTAGGGGCCACTGCAATCCTCAAACTCTCCACTTAGTTGCTGCTTAATCCTGCAGGTGCCTAAACTCACCCTGCACCTACATTTTTTCAGTAAATGTTCCGTAGGTGATTATGTTTCTGCTTCTGGGCATATGCACTGCTGCCTCTGTCTAAGTGCCTGCACACTAATTGACTGCCCAAGCTCCAGACTGATACTCAGACCAGGGGAAGACACCTATCTTGCCTGCAGGGCCCAACCCTTAATTGGTGCTCAGAGGCCTCTTAATTGCACACCACAATGTCCAGAGGAGAAAGACCTCCCTTATAACTTTTAGCCCAAAGGTTAGGATATTTACTTTGGAGGTGGCAAATCCATGTTAACATTCCTTTTCCTCATCAGGCTGAGGAAGGACGGTCTCCTAGGACAGGGTAGTTTTGCTAACTGTGCTTGCACACTTAGAATTTATAGGGTGTGCTAGTTGAACCGTTGTAGCACTTTGGCTGCAAAGGGAGCACATGGTTCTCACAAGTCAATACTATGTGCATTCATCATGCACTACACATGCCCTTGCTTTATGTGCATGTCACTTTAGTAATACTAATAGGGGGAAAAACTATACAGATGGAAACCAGCAGAATCTGACAACATTGTGCATGGGCAATGATGAACAAAATGTCTCACAGGCCAAATATTGAATCCTGATGGGCTGCATGTGGCCCTCGTGTGGCAGGTTGCTCACTACTGGGATACAGACTACATGACAGATCTCCCTCTCTCTCATGCCTGTTTTGTGTGAAATTAGACAACTCCTGAACATTACTGAAAATATTCTTTTGGTGTCTGTAGAAACCATTTCATATTTAGCTAGAAGCCATCTTGTATAACAGAAACCATTTCAGCTTTTCTCTTTGGCACATAGACCACAGTGAACTTTCTATCATCCCGTGAGAAGAAGCCTACAGAATGGGCTATTGGAATGTGTTAATTGGGCTGGTTGGGACAAGAGGTGTACTCCCTCGTACCTGTCCGCCATCTTGCTGATAAGGCTTTGTTTTTCCAAGTTTAATTGAGGATTTCTGTAATTGGATGCCCTGACGTCAGACTGTTTGGCTAAGGGTATAAAGATACTATGATTGATTGTATTAGCAGTCTTACTGGGCCCGGCTCTGCTGGGACCACGTTTGGCTCACTTGGCTTTACTGATCAATAAAGCTGTCTGTTTAGCCACCTAAACTGAGGGAGGCTTTTGCTTCGACATGTCCTAGAAGTTTGTGATGTTGACCGTACTTCAGCATATTACTAATAGAAATACTGTGTAACAGATTTATCATGTTCAGATCTATAAGAGCTTTTAAAAATAACATATTCTGATGAAACAAATAATGTCAAAATCAATTAGCTCAAGCTGCAAAATTAAAGTCACGCTCAATACTGAAGAGCTTGAAATTATTGGGTTTTTAATTTAAAGCCTTCACTATTCCCTTTACTAAAGTCTGTTTTTGTTGCTCTACCATACTGAATTCTATGTAACCAAATCACATACTGCAACATGCAGAAGTTCAAATGTATTCTTTGATTACTTGTTGATTTTGAAATACAGAGTTTCTTATAGAACTAATAAAGCTTTCAAGTGGATACTTTTTTAAAAATTATAGTGTAAATACATAAGCAAACTGTTTCAGTCTTTACAATAATAATAATGTTTACCTATCTTTAAATATCCATCTTTGGTTGTTTGGTAGTTTACTTTATCTCCTTGGCCTATAGCATCTTTTAATAATTCTGTTTCCTGTAACAAAATAAAAAGAGTAGTAGCTCCAACCAGGGACATTTTTTTCCAAACCAAATTTATAACATGAGTAGTATTGTGCATTGCAATGGGAAATAAGACACTTACAACAGCAGGCAAAACTTCCACAGTAGTGTTATATAGTTTATCACCAGGGTGTTCCATGTTTCCACTTCTGAAGAGGTACCTGTGAATGAGAACTATTTTATTTCTGTGTATTTTTGTACTATAGAAAATTCTAGGTGGAATAAAACTTTAAATATACTTCTTATATTGCCAATATCACAGGGTCAGAGAATCTAAAGACAGAGGTTAATATTTGCAGCCATTTGGCCAAACTGTATTAAAATCTTTAAATTTCAAACAAATATATCCCCCAAAGATGACCTGTTCTGGAAACTATAAAATACAACCATCCTCAGTTAAGACTGATCCTCCTTCCATTTTGTACTCATATCCAAATACCTCTAATCCATTCCAAGCTTTGCCAGCCCCTTACACCTAGATACAGATGGTCCAATATAATACCAAAATCTAGCTGAGGCCTGCAGTCACTGGCTAATCAAATAGTCGATAAGGGCTCCTTCACCTTTGAAGTGTAGCAACAGCACATGGCGCTGCCACTTTGAAACGCTGCAGGGAGGCCAGCATCAGGCTCCATGTGGCGTTTCAAAGCAGTAGCACCGCATGGAGCCCAGGACTAGTGGGAGAGTCCCCAGTTTACCCTGGGCTCCAAGTGGCACTGCCGCTTTTAAATGCTGCGTTTAGCCTGGGCCAACTGGGGACCCCAGACTGCAGCGTTTGAAAGCGGCAGACCCCCAGGCTCCACACGGCACTACTGCTTTGAAGCACCCACTTCTCTTTCCCCCCACCTTGATGTTTCTTTGTGATAGAGCACTTGCTTATCGGATAGTTGACTAGTCATTCACATCCCTGTGCACTAAGCTGCTCCCATGAGAGGGCTAGCTTGGAACCACTTTTTTTTCATAATGACAATCCTTTCCTTGTAACCATTAAGGCTCATAATAGTTTTTTAAATGAAAGCCGAGAGTCTCACTTTCATGTGAATCCAGCAGCTGAGGCATAAAGAAAAACTCCATGTATAAAATTCACATAAAAAACCAAAATAGTTAACGGCCCTAGAATAATGGGTCATCAACTATAAAAGGCAATGTTGTGTTAGAAGCCCCCTTCTTCCTGTTTAGACCTCCATATTGGAAAAATGGAAGATATGGACTAGGGATGTCAGCGAGTAGTCAACTAGATGATTAACCAATAAGCCTAGGCTTATCAATTAATCTAGTTGACTACTCACAATTCCCCCCCCCCCTTGCTGCATTTATATAAGAGACAGAGGGTGGGGCAGCTGGAGCCAGTGCTGGGGGGTAGCCATCTGAAAAGCCAGTTCCCTCCAACACTGACTCTGCCATGCCACCTGTCCCATCCCCCCATGCTGCTGCTCTAGTACGAAGCAGCTGGATGGGGCAGCAGCAGGACTGGCAAATCTCATCCCTGGGGCGCCCTGGCTGGGCAGCCAGCGGAAAGAGCAGGTCAGCCAGCACATCCCATCCCTGGGATTCCCAGGGGAGTGTGGCAGAAGTGGGGCAGCCAGCAAGCCCCCTTCCTGGGGATTTTCAGTCGGGCAGGGGAGAGCAGGGCCATGGTGGCTTGTGAGCTCCATCCTTGGGGGGCCCTAGCAGGCTGGAGCACAAGTCCAAACCCTACAGGCTGGAGCCCAATGGCAGTGGGGCTCGAGCAAGCCAACTGCAGGGAGAGGAAGCTTCCTGGCAGGCCGGTGGCAGAGGATCTCGCCATATCTGGTGAAGTCCCTCATTTGGAAAGGGTCAGGTTCTGAGGGTGCTGGACAAGGGAGGTCCAACCCATACAGAAGCTTTACAACTGTTACCACTTGCATTTTCATTGTTTTCACCATAGGGTTTATATTGATTTTCTTTTTTTATTTACTATTTAATTTTTACTCTTTTGATGAGACACCTTAGAATTGATAAGCTTTTAAGGAAGAAGTTTTAGGGAAAGCATTAAAAAGAGGAAGGGGACATAGCAGACAATATTTTTTATAAATTGGCAGTTTGTTGATACTCAAACAGTAGAGGATTAGTAATCTTGACAGGATTCAAAATTGGATATAAGTATCCTACTATATCATTTAGTACTTACCCTTCTGCTTTCAATGGCTGTGAAAAAGTAAATAAGATATAATCTCCAGCCACTGGAGAAAAAGCCCAAAAGCAGTCTATTCCTTCATAAACCTTTTCCAAAGTATAATCCTGGAATATTCTTAGGCTAGTAGTCACTTTTGCAGGGGGATTAACATGTGGTTTATGTAACATGTTTTTGCCAAAATCTTTATCCTGTTAGACACAAAGAAATACAATATCACATATAAAGATTTACAACTCTTGGGGTATGTCTACACTGCCACCCTAGTTCAAACTAGGGTGGCTAATGTAGGCATTTGAACTTGCAAATGAAGCCCGGGATTTAAATATCCCGGGATTTATTTGCATGTTCCCGGGCGCCCCATAGTTCGATCTACCTGCCTGCTGCTACACGCGGCACGTCCACCTGCCCGCTGCTACACGCGGCACGGACTAGGTAGTTTGAATTAAAGCTCCTAATTCAAACTACCGTTACTCTTCATTGTAGGAGGAGTAACGGTAGTTTGAATTAGGAGCTTTAATTCGAACTACCTAGTCCGTGCCACGTGTAGCCGCGGGCAGGTAGTTCAAACTACAGGGCATTTAAAAACGGCGGCACCAGGGAACATGCAAATAAAGCCTGGGATATTTAAATCCCGGGCTTCATTTGCAACTTCGAATGCCTACATTAGCCACCCTAGTTCTAACTAGGGTGGCAGTGTAAACATACCCTTGGATCACAGAGGATTGTTATAAAATGAAGAGTTATTTTCCAAACTATTTTCATATAAAATAATGCATTTAGGTTTTAAGTATCCCATATTAATGGAAGCTCCTTCAGTGAAACCACTGAAATTCAACAATAAGTTATTTAAGAATTGTATTGATCATTTGCTAAGTGATGAAATTTCCCCAAGGGGCAAGCTGTTCTATAATTTCCTAGTAGAACACCTTCTTCTGGAGCATCTGGTATAGGTCCTAGACAAACGGACAACATGAACCACTGTCCTGATCAAATATGGTGATTTTTATGTAATCATACAGCACTAATTGAAGTCTTGTACTTAAGTGCTCTTGCATACTGAGGACAGTTGGTTTCAGTGAGAAGGTATGCCACAGGCGATACAGACCTGTGCTGAATTACTAAGGAAAGGACAGTATCTAATGAGGAAAGGCTACCAGAGGGAATCTCTCCATTGTCTCAGAAAAGTCAGGAGAATCTTTGGGGGTAGAATAGTAATCAAGCCCTGTGCTGGTTTGTATTATTTGGATTGTTTCTGTATCCATCCCAGAATCTCTTGAGATGATGTCTGTATATGCCTACTGCGGATCTGAGATGATCTAAGCATAATAAATGAGGCTTCCCTGTGAAGGTATTTCCCCCCTACTTTAAGCTGAGGAGCCTCTGTTTGTAGTAGGTCACTGTAATTGAAAAACCCCTTCTTGACCTTACGTGCTTCTCTGACTGCCATCTCATCTCCCTTTTATCTCGAGGCTCATTACATGAATTATATACAATTGCTGTCAAAAGTTTCTTTTCCTCAAATTCCACTGTTGGCCCTCTCCATTTCAGCTTCCACCCCTTGCACTTCTCTGAAACAAGTCTCACTAATGTCTCTTATGACCTCTTCCTAGCTATGACCTCTTCCTAGTTACAGTATCCCATCCTCCTTCTCCTTGATCTTTCAGCTGCCTTCAGCACAATTGACCATGCTCTTGAAATATTGTCCTTCCTTGGCTTTTGTGATTCTGTCCTCTCTTCTCTTACCTCTGTAACGATTCATTGTGTCCTTCAGAGGGCCTGCTGTGTTCCTGCTCCAACATTCTGGGGGCTCCAGAGAGGGTGTTTGGTACCCTTCTCTTCTCCCTTTACACATTATCTCTGGATAATCTCATCTGCAAACACACATTCAACTGCCATCTCTGTGCTGATGACTCTCAGATCTACCTCTTTACTCCAGACTCATCTCCTCCTGTCCAAACTAAAACCTGAGCTTGTCTCACTGACCTCTCCTCATGGATGTCTAGACATCAACTCAAGTTCAATAAAACTAAAACAGAGACTCTTCTCTCCTCTCTCATCTCCTGCCAAGTCTTCTACTGTACCTCCATTCTCAATTACTGTGGACCATACCTCCATTCTGATCACCACTCATGCCAGTAAGGTGGGAGAAACTTTTGACTTGGACCTCTCTCTAGGACATCACTTTCAAGCTGCATTTATATCTTGCAGAGTGTTTCAGTATAAGAACTCTAAGATAATTTTTTCTTATCCATTCATAGAGTGAAAATTTTCACAAGGCTCTCATCTCACATCTTCATTCCTGCAATATTCTTTCATTGACAAATACAACCTTACTGCACCCAGATCCATTCAAAACATGGATACACTTATGTAATGATCAGTTTCCTAGCCTGCCACTTGGACCATATCACCCTTATTTTTGAATTCTTCTGCTATAAGTGATAAAAGGGGAGACAAATTACATGTCTTCACTTTCAATGCCCTTCCTGATTAGTCCCCATTTAGGAACTTCCATTCATTATTGAAATGTTGACTCCAGGCTTTGCTCAGCTCATGAGGCTAATCTCCATCCCCCTTTGTTAAAGTTTCAAACAGACTTTTGTACTTTTCCCCATGCCAACTCTCACAGTTAAGAAGTACTCCTCAAACATCTGCAAAGCTACCTCATTATCCTCCATCACATCCCCCCTCAAAATTTTCCTTTGCCGTGATGCCTACAAAAATATTGATAACAGTTAGGCTGCTGTTGTTCTGAGATCGCTGTGTACCCTGCTGACCAATATTGTTTCACCATGTCCTTATGTTTCTCCCTCCCCATTTAGATCTTTCTATTGTCTCATTTTATATTTAGATTGTAAGTTCTTCGTGACATAATTGCCTTTTCTATCTGTACAGCGTCTAGTACAATAGGCCCATGCCTACGGATCCTGGGTGCATGATGGTATTTTAATAATAATTAATTGAAGGCTTAGACTCGTGGAAGATATCCTTATGTCCTATGGGTGAGTCTTCCCCAGTCTCAGTGCAGATTACAAATTTATATATTCCCTTCATCTCTCTCTCCTATTAATGTGCACTCTTGGTACATTACATTTATTACCAAATACATACTGTTTCTCTGTTAAAAAAGCAAACAAGTCAGAATTCACACAAATTAGAAATACAGTGGACTAATTTTTGAGAGTCTTACTTTTAAATTCTGTACTTTCCCAGCCAAAGACGAATGAATTCCAACATGCTGAAAGAGAGATGGCTTGGCACGGATACGCAAATAGGCCTTTTGCTTATCACAATGTTTCTGGAAAGGAAATAAAAAACGTTACATGTTTGAACCAACAAAGGGATACTTCTTACCATCAGTAATTCAGTTTCATCACATAGCGATAGTTATAGGCCTTGTCCTGCAATCCATAAGCACAAAATGTTAATATTAAAAATGTATATAGTTGGACGGAGATTGAGAGGGACATAGGAGGCAGGCTTGTTTAAAAAGCCTCTGAGTGAGTTTAAAAGAGGTAAAAAAACAAGGGTGATGTCATGGTAGGGTCTATTACAGACCACCTAACCAGGAAGAAGAGGTGGATGAGCCTTTTTTGAACAACAAAATCATCCAAAGCACAGGTGGTAATGGGGGACTTGAACTATCCTGACATCTGCTGGGAAAATAAAACAGCAGATTATGCAACAAGTTCTTGGACTGTATAGGAGACAATTTTTTTTATTTCAGAAGGCAGAGAAAGCTAATAGGGGGGAGGCTATTCTATACTTGATTTTAACAAATAGGAAGAAACTGGTTGAGAATTTGAAAGTGGAAGTCAACTTGGGTGAAAGTGATCGTGAAATTTAACAGATTTCATGATTCTAAGGAATGGTAGAAGGGAGAACAGCAAAATAAAGACAATGGATTTAAAAAAGGCAGATGTTAGAAAACTCAGGGAAATTGTAGATAAGGACCCATGGGAGGCAAGTTTAAGAGGAAAAACAACTGAAGACAGTTGGCAGTTTTTCAAAGGGACAGTATTAAAGGTGCTAAAACACACTGTTCCACTGCACAAAAAAGATAGGAAGTATGACAAGAGACCTGGCTTAACCAGGAGATTTTGAATGAACTAAAAATCAAAACGGAATCCTATAGAAAGTGTAAGCTAGGTCAAAATACAAAGGATGAATATAAGCAAACAATACGAGCATATAGGGGCAAATTAGAAAAGCTAAGGCACAAAATGAGCTCAATCTAGCTAGAGAAATAAAGGATAACAAGAAAACATTCTCCAAATATAGTAGAGGGCAGTGCCCCCTGCAAACTGCACTCGCCAACCACCCTCTCTGTGGGTAGGCAGCCCTGGCTTTCCCCTTGGCTGCTGGGGAAGGCCAGGATGGAGCCTGGCAGCCCTGGCCAGTCTCAACTCTCCCCTCTCCAGCCTCCGACAGTGGGAGGTGGACCTAGGCTGTCCCAGCTTTCTTCCTATGGCCACCAGGGCTGCTGGGCCAGCTCCTCCCCTCCTCGCAAGTGCTTTGGAGGATAGGGTCATAATTCAAAATGATCTGAACAAACTAGAGAAATGGTCTGAGGTAAACAGGAAAAAGTTCACTAAGAACAAATGCAAAGTACTCCACTCAGTAAAGAACAATCAGATTCACACATACAAAGTTGGAAGTGACTGTTAGGAAGTAGTACTGCATAAAGAGATCTAATCAGGGGCAGATTTACAATAAAACATACTGTGCCCTGGCACAGGGCCCCCCAGGGCTGGGAAGTCAGCACTGGGTCCAGCAACCTCCCTGCCCCGTGGAAGAGGCAGCCTTTTTTGGGGGGGGGGGGCAGTCCCGCTGCAGAAGGGGCTGTGGAGAGAGCAAGACAGCAGGGAGGAACATTTTGACAAGTTCAGCAATATTGACAATTGAAAGTGCCTCTTTACAAAATATTACAATGGCTTAATTGACGATTTTGTAAAGAAAAAGTACAGAAAGAAGGCTACTGAATATTTTTTTCAAATTGAATAAGTTTCTTCAGAGGAAGTTAACTTTTATTTTTCCATTCATGTGTCATCTATACATTTTATTTGTACACTTTTTTCATGTTGGCTTAATGCAAATACAAGCTTCCATCTAGACCAGAAGTTCTCAAACTGTGCTTCGAGAACTCTATTCAGATGGACTGAGGAAAGGTTATTATTTTTTTAAATCAAATGCTTTTATCCAAAGCACTTAACAATAGTTATCTCATGGTACAAACAATATTTGGAAAGATTATTAAATGGTCCACTGAGAACCTCTGCAATTTTCAACTGATCTGTGGAAAAAAAAGTCAGACTACAAAAATTATCAAGATATAGGTGACCCCTGACTAGCGACATGATTGGTTCCTGGGGAAGTGTTGCTAGTCGGAGGCATTGTAACTCGAACCCTCATTGATGATAGGTGCTGTGCACCATCGTAAATGTGGGCCAAAGACATAAGTCGAGGGGTTTCAGCCCTTTCCACATTTTAAAAAATAGTTGTAAGTGCAGGGAGTGTGTCGAGGGGTTTCAGCCCTTTCCACACTTTAAAAAATAGTTGTAAGTGCAGGGAGTCGCAACTTGGGCAGTCGCAACTTAGGGGTTTCCTGTACCTCACTTAATTTTCATTTACTTCTTATTACTTATAATATAGGAAACGGATGAAGAAAAAATGGGAGGAGACAGGAAGAGTGAATGTTCTTTTTCTTGGCTGGATCCTAGGGGGGCCCTCCAAAATGGAGCTAAGCACAGGATCTGACTAACTCTAATGGGGTCTGCCATTAAGGCTGCTATTTCTCCCATTCATCTGGCAAAGGTATTACTACAAGAAAGGCCACCTTCACTGACAAGTGTAGTAGTGAGCAAGTGGCGAGAGGTTTGAAAGGTTTACCCCAATGGCTTTTAGCACTAGGTTCAAGTCCCATGCAGGGATTGGGTCCTTGTGTAGAGGGAACATGTTGTGGAGGCCCAGTAGAAAGCGTTTGATGGAAGGATGAGTGAAGATTGAGTGTCCTTGCATAGGGGCATGAAGAGCGGAGATGGAGGCAAGGTATATCCTTATGGATCTCATGGACAGCCTGTATTATGTAGTACTAATATAGGTATTGCAAAATATGTGAGATTCCTGCGTGGATGGGTTCATAGGCATGGGTTGCACACCAGGCTGTGAACCTATTCCTTTTTTGGATATATGTCTCTCTTGTTGTAGGTATTCTGGAGTTTTCGAGAATAAGCTGTACTGCTTCCAGGAAGGATCTTTCCATGTTGCTTAACCAATTAACATCCACGCCTGGAGGTTTAGCTTGTGGATGGCTGGATGGGGAATATATAACAGGTATGGATACCATATCTGTCTGGGCCAGTTGGGTGTTATTAGTATCACTCTGTCTCTGTCTTGTCTGATCTTGAGTATCACCTGTTGTATAAAGGGAAATGGTGGAAAGGCATTTGCAAGGTGAACCTTCCATTGTATGCTGAAAGTGTCCCCCAGGGAATGGGGGACTATGCCCGCTCTGGAGCAGTATAGATGGCAACAAGCATTTCTGTGTGTAGTGAATAGGTCCACTGTTGGAAATCCCCATTTCTTGAATAGATGGTTGCGCACTGATCAGTTTATGTCCCACTCATGGTTCTGTGGGAATTGTCTGCTTTGGCTGTCTGCTAGTTTGTTGTCTTTGCCTGGAAGGTGAGTTGCAACTAGGTGTATGTTCCATGTGATGCACCATTCCCAGAGGTATATAGCCTCCTGGCATAACTAGCAGGAACATGCTCCTCCCTGTCTGTTGATGTAGTACATCATGGTGACGTTGTCTGTCAGGATCTGGACTATTCTGTTAGGCATCTGTTGTTATTGTGATTGACGGTGGACTGCACTGGAAGGGCACTCCCATGTGTACATTGTCATGTAATGTCCACCATGTTAGAGAAGATATTTTATCTTGCTTGGCATGGAGAGGCACTTATTCAATGGGTGGATTCATGGCTGGTAGGCTGTGCATAGCCAAGCCTCTAATGGTCTCATATGTAGCTGAGCATGGGGAACTATGAACGTGGCCGCTGCCATATGTCCCAGTATTTGTAGGCATAGTCATGCTGTTATGATCAGGCTGGTCTGTGCCGTTGCTATCAGGTCTTTGATAGTGACCATTTGTAGTGAGGTAAGTAGGCTCTGGCCTTTATGCAGTCTAGATGTGCTCCTATGAACTCCAGTGTTTGAGTTGGGGTCAAAATGCACCTTGCAGTGTTTATCTGTAGCCCGAGAGTGTCAACGATAATTGAGATCATGTGCTGTATGTCCTGCTGTGTGTGGGTTGTTAGTAGATAATTGTCTAAGTATGGAAATATTGAAATCCTGTTTTTGTGCAAATGTGCGGCCACTACTGCCAGTATCTTTGAGAATACTCTTGGGGCTGTTGACAGTCCGAACGGTACTACTCTGTACTAGAAGTGTCTGACTTTTATTATGAAACAGAGGAACCTCCTGTGTGCTGGATATATTGATATGTGGAAGAAAGCATCCTGGAAGTCGAGGGTAGACAACCATGCTCTTTTTTCCAAGGCGGGTATGATGGTGGCAAGAATGACCATCTTGAATCACTGGTATCTGACAAAACAGTTGAGCTTGCGGAGGTCTAATATTGGTCTCCAGCCACCCGACTTTTTGGTGGTGAGAAAATAGTGTAAGAGTAAAACTGCTTGCCCCTGTGTTGTTCTGGTACTTCTTCTATGGCGCCGAGGCTTAGGAAATGTTCTGCCTCATGTAGACATAATATCTTGTGAGAGGGGTCCCTGAAAAGGGACGGGGAAGGGGTGGGGTGGGGAAATGGCTATGAATGGGATGCAGTATCCTGTTTTCACAATTTCCAACACCCACTTGTCGGTGGTAATGGTCAACAAGGCTGGATAAAAGTTGGTTAGTCTGTTGCCAAATACTGTGAATGATGTGGATTGCTGCCTCGGAAATTTTGGGGTTGTCAGACTGTTGACCAGGACTTCAAAACTGTTGCCTGGATGTTGATGGTGTTGAGAAGAGGATTGGTCTGAGGGCTGTCTCCGTCTGTTTGCCTTAGTCAGCATATATTCTCATATTGTCATTGTTGTTGATTAAATGGTGTATGTCTATATATTTGGTGGAATGATCTGTTTTGCTTTCTCTTTGTAATAGGTACCCAAATGCCTAAAGTCCTGAGAGTGGCCCTTGAGTCCTTCAAGGTATGTAGAAAGGTGTTTGTGGACTCTGCAAAGAGCTTCATACCTTCAAATGGGAGGTCCTCTACGGTGGACTGGAAAACCCAAAAGTTGAAGCCAGAAAGCTTGTCTCATTACCATGACTAAGCAAGAGATCTGGCTGCTGTGTCTGCTGAGTCAAGCGCTGCCCGTAGGGCTGTACGGGATATTAATATGCCCTTTTCGGTATTTGCTTTAACTCTTCTCTTTTATTGTCTGGGAGTGAGTCAATAAAAGGTGTTAATTGGTCAAAGATCTGATGTGTGTATTTTGCTAATAATGCAGTATAGTCAGCAATTCTTATTTGCAGGCTTGCTGATGAATATGCCTTTTCCCCCATTGCGTCCAGCCTCTTCTAATCCTTATCATATGGAGTTATTTGTGTAGCTTGTTCATGGCTTCTACTACAAGGGAATTTAGTGCCGGGTGGGAAGATAGAAATTCTGCCTCTTTGGGAGCAGCATTGTACTTTCTGTCCACTTGTTTTGATGTTGGGGGGATTGTGGCTGACATGTGCCATATATTCTTGGCGGGGTCCATTTTGCCTTTGGTGGTGTCTTCTCTGAGGTATGTTGTGAATGTCTCAGATTCCGGCTTTTTTCCTTGCCGGTCCCGCTTGCATGCTGCTTATCAGATTGAGGTTGTGGCATTTTTGTGGGGAGTCCCTGAGGAAGTATAGGACCTTTTCTTAGTCTTGTTGTTTTCCCAGTCCTTTAGGCTCGACTGTGTATAAGCCACTGCCTCCGACTCAGTCCCAGGTGATATGTGTCTGGGAGGAGTAGATTGCTCAAGGTCGGAAGGTGACCGAGACTTTTTCTCAATCCATAGCACTATGAGTTGTAGCTATCTGAATCTCCTGGATCGGTTTGTAAGTTTCTGACAGTGTGTGCAATGTTTTGAGGAGTACTGTTCACCCAGACAGTAAACACACTCCACGTGCCTATCAGAAATTGAGAAGGATAGCCTGCAGCTTAAACGCTTTTTAAGCGCAGGGTAAGTATGCGGCTTCATGCGCTTGTCCAGCGGTGGGTTTTTTTGGATGACTAATAAGAGGAGTCAAATAGGAAGGGTTTCTGAGGTAAAGTATAGGTAAGTAAATAGGTAATAAATAAGGTAAAGGGAGACTGCTGATCAGCGACCGCAGATGCTGGCGGCTGAGAAGGAACTAAGAGGGGATGGCCAGCTGCCCATGAACAAT